ACACACACCCTGAAGGAGAAACTGTCTAAAGAAAAATCTCTTGTGTATGCCTCCTTCCAACAACCAGAAACCAGTGAAATCAGTACATGTCAAATGGAATGACTTAAGGCTGAAAAACATTTCTTTGAACTGCTTGAATAGGGAGGCAGCAGCAGGAGCTGATTGCACAGCATTGGATGGCACTGTCCAGCCTTCTCCCTGTGCTACCTTGAGAGATATAGGGCAGCTTGGGATAGATCCAGTTCACATACCTAATCCAGGCAACCTGCCTGCTCCACCACTACTTCCTGCAGACCCATCTCATTGCTGCTGAAGCAGGTTGGGATTCTGCTACCCTCCTGTACCCCACACTTTGGAGGAATGGAAGTCCTGTGGTGCACTGGAGACAGCTGCATCACAGACAGCCCAAGCTGAGCCAGGACTGTGGAGGAAGGCACCTTCAGCCTCTTCATGAAGGACCAGGGTTAAGCTTTGCATTGCAAGGGCAAGAAAGAGATGGGTGCAGGAGATGGTGGGATCCCCAAGGCCCAAACAAGGCACATGAACTGAGTCAGGAGGGTGGATAATGAGGCTCTGGGTTTAGGCATGGAGCTGGCAGTTTGTAAGCTGCAGGTGGAAAACTGAGCCTCTGCTGTATCTGTGTCCCCAACAGGTAAACAGCCAATGTCCTCTATGTGCCCCTCCATCTTGCTGGATAAAGACAGAAAGGTCAGGATGGTGGTTGGTGCTTCTGGAGGAACAAAAATAACTACAGCAACAGCGCTGGTACGTGATGGTATGGGCAAACTGGGGACAAGACTATGCAAAACAAAAGAGAGGCAGTTTTTGGGGTAAGGGGCTCCAGTCTACATGTGTGACGTGATCATGGCTGTGTTTCCCTGCTGTGGGCTAGGGCTTGAAAGGGAGATTCCTGCCCTGTATTCTGAGGGCCAGACCTCCAACACCAACTCCTGCCAGGGCTACACAGCATCTGCTATTAAATTTCTTCCTTCAGTGACTTCAGGTCTTTTCTTTTGGCAAGTTGTTCTTACCACTTGTGGAAGAGTTGTGACTTCAGATTAGCTTTGACTTCTGTTCTCTGGATCTCTATGAACTAGTCTGTTTACCTAGTTTACAGCCATTTCCATCCAACATCCTAAACTTTGGATGTAAGTCACACAGAAAAGCTGAATAAGAACTTTGCTTAGGCAGGGTATCAGGCCTGACAAGCAGGCTCTCTGTGAGCTGCTGTGGCAGCCACTCAAATGCCCAACTAGCCCAAAAGGGACTGCAGAAGAAAACTGTCACCTTGTGTCAGCATGACACTAGGTCTGGCTTTCTGTCTGAGGTAGAGAAGTCTGCAAAAAACACTGCTAACAGCTTTCTAAATCCTGGACCCTGAGGCTGTTCTCATTTCCTGGCAGTTCAAGCATGTGGGGATGAGTCCAGGCTTAAGGGAACTGGTTGCACAATAGCAGGAAGGTGTACGTGTGTGTTTCCTGGTGACAGCTAAGTGCTCAATCACAGCAGCAGAAATCCAGCTACAATAGCTTGAGGATCTGATCCTTTTACTATATTAATTTGAGTAACTCATGGTCTCTTTGTGTGTAACTCCTCCTAAGCATATACAAGCTCACTGGCTGCACTGTACCTGTATTTTTCTTAGCCAAGTGAAGAACTGCTGAAAGCCACATGAAACCTTACGTTTTATGTGCTCTGCTGAACATCCCTCAGGCATCTGTGTGGCTACAAGGGTGAGGGCTCTTCGAAGACAAGTAACTAACATTAAAGCTTCTTGCTTCTCACAGACAATCATGAATACCATCTGGTTTGGTTATGATGTGAAGAAAGCAGTGGAAGAGCCCAGAATTCACGACCAGTTGTTTCCCAATATCACGGAGCTCGAGCAGCAAATAGAGGAGGTTGGTCTGGCTAGAGTCTGGGGTGCATGTGGGCTGGGTTCCTTGTGCTGGGAAGGCATGCATTGTAGAAAATCATTTTTGTCAAATGTTCCTAGGTGAGCAATATTAAATCTGTCATAGGTCAAATGCTGGGTCATCATAACCTGTTGAAAGTGTACCTTTAGTCACACGAGTGTGAAGCCACTGCATTAGTGATCTGAAACTGAGCATTTGCTTGCAGTGCTGTTTGGCTCAAAGGACTTGCAAAACAGCAAACCACATCAGGGCCCAAACCATCCAGCAGTCTAAATCCAGCGACCCTCGGGAAACTCTCGTCCTATTGTGCAACATCATAATGAATCCTGAAGCACTAGCCCAGAGCTAGCAGAGGATGCACAGAGGGACCTGGGAACAAACTTGAAAAGATTTTCACAGTAAAGATCTCTGTGCAGTATTTTTCAGGCTGAGAGCTGATAGCAAGGTTTGCCTCACTCCACAGTCCACTCATCTGAGCTGGGAGCTTCATTCACCCTGGGAAATTACACATCCCAGAGGCCTGAGACAGACCCAGGCTTTGTACATACCTCATTCCAAGCCTCTGTATTTGGGAAAAGGCTCCTACATAAGGCATTTTTCTTATCAAACTGTGCAGAAGCTTCTCTGTTACTAAGTTTCTTACTTAAGAGCTGAGATATCTGCCAGAGCTGGAGAGGATGCCCTGCTCTCTCCTGTGGTTTCTGCCATTGCCAAACAGGATCCATCAGTCCTGGCTGTTAGTATGTGAATATCTGAGGTGGAGTGCCCTGTGACTAAGAATAGTATTGGTAGCCCATACTGAGCACCACAAATACATCATCTTTTCAATTCCACTTCTTCAAAAGCAGGGCATCCCAGAAAGCAAAAGGAAGAGAAGGAACAACATGTAGGTTTAGATTTACCAGATATAGGCTCTGAACTCTCGGGTAATCATGGAGGATGCAGGTCACAGACTGTGACACGTGCAGTTTCCATCTCCTGTTGTCCTCACTACTCACTTCTGCATTCCAGGGCATAGAAGCAGAGCTAAAGAAGAGAAAACACGACACCATGCGAGCGGTGAGCAGCGGTGCGGTGGTGCAGGCCATCCTCAGAACAGATAAAGGATGGGCTGCAGCCTCTGATTCCAGGAAAGGTGGCTTCCCTGCAGGCTACTGACGTGGCTCAGCTCCTTTTTTCAGTGGTCTCGTGACACTGAGGTGTGTTTTGGGGGAAGATCCTTTAGGTCTGCAACTCAGGGACTTCTCACAGGAAAGAGAATGCATTTACCTGTGATTCTGTTGATGGAACTGGGACAGTTCTCTACAGCCATGACCGAAGTGCCTCATGCCACAGCCGTCTGCTAAGACAGGCATGTCCACCAGGATGTGCAGTACTTACTTGAAGAGTCTGTTCTGCCTTGAAGAGTTTGTTCCCTGCCTCCTCTCCATCCCATGAAGACAGATTGGGTGCCCAGTTTCTGCAGAAGGTCCAGCTCACTCTAGCTGCAGGAAGTGTTTCCCCTGCATGGTGTCAGCTACCAGGAATGTCCCTGTCACTGCTAGAGAAGATATTTGTTTCCTGTTGAGTAGGTGGGAGTTACAGGACTCTGGGGACTGGGTTTTCTAAGTTACAAACTAATAGATCTGTGCCATAGCAGAAAGCCCAGCTCTAGACTGGGACAAGCCAAACTCACTACTCTGTTAACAAAAGATGTTTCTGCATTTCACCCAGTTGATTATTGGAGATGAGTGGGTAAATGGGGAAACGGCTTCAAACGTTTTTATATTTCTGTTGAGAAGGTCTAAAGGGAAGATGCTACCTGTAAAACTCTGAGCACAACTAAAATAAATAAATACGGAGTCACACATTTTTCTTGCCTGTACAGTTGCTACTGCAAAAAGGGATGGTGAGAGTCTGTGTGAAATAAGCTCTCTTTTCTTCACTCCTTTGATGAAGCCATGAGTAAACAAATAACCAAAACAAGTTGTTTTTCTCCAGTTTGCTTTTTACCACATTGTACTGGCTTGAAACCAGAGTCTGGGGAACTGAAACTTCTAAAAAAGAGCACACTGCAGCTACTCTGGTTTGAAGGCAAAGTACCATCAACCACAGAGTTAATGATCTCTCGGAAATCCCTGTCTGATCTGGAGCAGCTGAGAGTGTCTACCTGCATGAGGGGGTTTGGTGTTCCCCTACTAGCATGGACCAATACATGACATCACATAAACTTAGCCTAAGATTAGAACCAAATGTTCCAGGATGTTGTCAGACTCTAGTGATGTTTAAGAAATCCTTGAAACACAAGTGACGGTAAGTGAACTCATCTATCTGGCTGGTTGAAACTTCCAGTCAGTTTAAAAAAATCCTAAAAGACAGAAGAGAAAGTAAAAGGCTGAAATTTTCAGCATCAGGCATCCTCTCTTTCCTAGGGGTGTATAGAATTGAGGAGAGCCTGGTTTCAAGGAATATAGGTCATGCTTAAATCAGAGGAATGACTTGACATATATATTTGCTTATATCCCTTGAACTATTGAATGGCTTTTACCAAACATTGCCTCGGGTGTGCTCTGGCTCCTTTTGCTGAGCTGTTACTGGTGATGTGCTAGGTGCAGTGAGGGCACTGATTGTAAATGGCCTAGAGTCCTGGTGCTCCCTCAAGAATGAGATACATTTGGGTCCAAACCTGTGTCCTTTTATCGCTGAACTGAGACTTTCACTTTTCTACTTCTTGTAACTCCATGCCAGATGCCCCTCCAGCATACAGGGCCATTTTTGGAAGCTCTGAAATAAGCTTGTGTATGGATCAGCATTGGCTGCTATTTGTTGGAAATACCTGGCCTTTGGAATTGGGACTAGATGAGCTTTTTCTTGGCCAAGTGTGATCTGGGAAATAAAGAAAATTACTGCACAGCAAAATAAGCTTATTGAACCCTTACAGTCACTATAGTTAGTTTGAATCTGGAAGGGAACTGGTTTCTGGGAAATGGCTGCTGGATGATCATGCATTCTGTGACTGCTGCTGGGCCTCTATCAGTTCGTGGTGCAGCAGTTGTTTCTTATGTTCCTGAATTTATTCTTGCTAGTCAGAAAACTCCTCTATTATTTATAACCTGTGTTACAAAACTTCCCTTATGGAAAGCAAGCTCAGATTTTGCCATGGCTAAAAGCACTTCTGGTTTCAACTGTTCTTATAAATGCATTTGAATTCTTGGCTCTGCAGAAATGGAGTTGGTTGGTTTTAGCTGTATCACTACAGAGGAGTGATTTGTGAAAATTAAGCTGAGCTGCTGCTTGCACTTACATCCTGCATTTTTTTAAAAGCCTCTGGATACCTCTGCAAGCTGTAATTATCCATGTCTCATTTGGACATATCTGTACACAGGGCAGGCACTTCTGCTACCTGCTTGGACACCACATTGCAATACTTACACTGCATTGAAGCTGTCTCTGTGTCAACAGGCAGATGTCAGTCAGTGTTCCTGCTGTAAAACCTCCAGCTGTATCCCCTAGGCCAGCCAGCTTGGTGGGATGTTTCAGCTGCATGAAAAAGATTTCTTCCTGCTCATGGATAGGACAAGAGGGAATGGCCTTAAACTGAAAGAGGGTAGATTTAGATTAGATATTAAGAAGAAATTCTTGACTGTGAGGGTGGTGAGGCACTGGCACAGGTTGCCCAGAGAAGCTGTGGCTGCCCCAACCCTGGAAATGTTCAAGGCCAGGTTGGATATGGCTTGGAGCAACCTGGACTAGTGAGTGGTATCCCTTCCCGTGGCAGGGGGGTCAGAATGAGATGCTTTCTAAGGTCCTTTCATCATTCTATGTCCCACCATCTGAATGCAACCACCTTCCCCCACCTGCTCCTGAGCAAAAACACAAGGTGTTGGTGTAAGCTGCAGGTTCTCTGTGCCCAGTGCAGGGCACAGAGAACAGGACATGTTGCTGTGACAAATTCCAGCTGGTGTGAAAGAAAGCTGTGCCATCAAAAGGTGATTTGGATCATGAACTGGAGGTTCACCTCTTCCCCCTGTTCTTCAGTCTGACATTACCACAAGTTTCTTTTGGCAACTATCCAGCCTTTGGAAGGGCTGCAGGGAAGACCCAAAATCCAGCTGTGAGAGACAAGTGGCACACACAGTCTGCTGCACAGTTCCTCAGCTTCTCCAGCAGTGTATTGAGGCTCCAGAAGAATGAACAACTGTTACTGTTGGAAACATCTGATTGGAAGTCCTCCCTCAAACAACTGCTTGTGTGCTGGGCTAGTCAAATGGTTTAAAGGAGAAATTCCCAGACAGGTTTAAAAACACTTTATTAAAAGTATAATTTAAAGACTCGTTAGAAAATAGAGCAGCCTCTGTACAATAAAAGTCCACGTAACTTGATTTCAGTACAAAAATAATGCTCTTTTATAGAGAAGAGACCAAACTGGGAGGCTCTTGACCCAAGCAGATTTCAGCAGCAGTGAGGAGGTGGCAGGGCAAGAGCAGAGGTGCCAAGGCAGATACAATCTCTCAGCTTCACCAGGTATTCTGCTAGTGAGGACTACAGGACTGGAAGTCTCTGCTGCAATGAGAGATCTGCACTCTCATTCCGTTCTGTCTTGCAAATTAAAACTGTGATGAGTTTGAAAACCGCTCGGTTGCAAAGTTAGTAGCATAGTAGTTAAATTGCAGTGAGCACTGGACTACAGATAATATTTCCATGTCTTTGTGGTGGGAAGTAGCTGTGATACTACTGCACTGGAAAGGTGATAGGCTGGAGTACTGCAGTGTGCTTAATCCTGAGGTGTGCCAGAAGTGAAGGTAATAGAAGACTTAGTTACTTGGTGACTTGGGTTTTCTCTAGTGAACCGTGATGGAGAGGACTCAGGGCACTGCTGAATGTGGCCCTGAAGCCTAATAGGTAAGCCAGGGCTGCTCTCCCTGTCTCCAGCCAGTGTCCTCTGAGTTGCTGTTGGTAAGCTCTGAGCTCAGTTGGGTTGGCTGGAAATAACTACGGATCTTGCTTAAGCCACCGTCCGGTCTAGTTCGTCTGTCTGGTGCTGAAGTGTGAGCTGCAGATGGTGTCTGGTGCCTGCAAGTGCTTCCCTGCAACAGCTCTGCAGTTGGGGTGTTATTTCTGACACTAGAACTGATGTACCCAGGAACTGGTAGCTGGGGTACCGGAGTCAATCAAAGTGGAAAACTTCAGCAAGTAGTAGCAGCAGCAAAGTAGTCAATGCAACCTCTTCCAAGTGGACATAAATACTGCTTCCCCAGCCTTTGGGTCTGGTCCCATTCACCAGCACTGTAATGCTGTCTCACAGGATGCTGAGCCATTTCCACGGTGTGAGTAAGCAGCTCTGGTGGAGAAATCAGTAGTCCTTCCTGAACTAGGGGATTTAAGATAAATTTCATTTGGATGAGGAAGGAGGGGGCAGTGCATGGAGCTGGCTCTATGTGTAATGAACTTGTCTTCCAGAGCATGATGAAGTGCTTGCGGTTACGATGTGGTATCTTAGCAGTCATTAACTCTGATACAGCAGAGTCCTCAGCGTGCAGTTTCTGAAGGAGAACACATGTCTGGCTCTGATCAGCTTCACTCAGGCCATCACTAAAATGCAAGTGAAGGCTGAGATTTCAGTAAACTGATGGCTTTATTGGAGAGACTTTGTGGGTAAAAACAATGACATATAACCTAGCTGGAATTGATTTAATTTGTTTGGGGTTTTTTGTGTGTGTGCTTGTTATGGTGTTTACAGAGGGATTTTATTTGGTTGTGTACCAGGAATCCCATGGGATGTATATGTGAAGGGGAAGTCTCTGGTAGCACCTCTCTCTGGTTTGATTCACCCCCCCACCCCCCCAAAAAACCCCAAACCACTCTGTGTGCCCACAGGGCAGTACAGCTCATAAGCTGTCAGAAAATGGAGTTTTGGGGGGGGGTTCTGGAAATTTGTCCCTGCATATTTGAGAAGAGCTTTAGGGGTTTTCTGGGGTTTGGGGTTTATTTTCTTAAATGTTTTATTCTCTTGGCCATTTTGAGCAGGGCAAAGTTACAGACTAACTGCAAAAGACCTTTAGTGTCCAGGTGCCCAAGTTCAGGTTTCTTCTCCAAAAGTTTTCTCCCTCTGTGATAGTCCTTAGAACCCTACAGTTTCCTCCTTGTGATCTGAAGGGAACACTACAGACTAGCTGTGGTAAACAAGGACTTGGAGCATGTGTGTAAGCTATGGGAGAGGAGAATTCTGCTAATGCTTGATAGCACTACGTCATTTCTCAGCAGCCCTGGTGTTTCCCTGGCCAGGCTGAGCTCATGGCTACAAATGATGTCTCTTGACCATGTATTTTTTTGCATTTTGAAGCAACTTCTAAAGCTTCTTAAAGCAACAGCACTTCCATTGCAGTCCTCACCTGCCTTCCCAGCATTGAGGAGATGATCTACCAGCATTGAGGAGAGAGAACTGGCACAGACTGGGACTCCTCTCACCACAGGGAGAGGTGTCTCTGGGGAGCTGAGTGAAGCTTGTCCATGCCAGGAGCAGGGAGTTCACATTGCCCCATGGGAGGCTATTCTCAGTCACCAGTGTCACCAGTGTGCAGGGCTGGAGGAAGCATTGGCACAGGTCCTTTGAGCTTGTGAGGTCCTTTGTACCCCCAAGGCAGAGAGCAGTAGGGCAGGGCAGTACTTGTGCCATGGTGTGATTTCACCTGCCACCTTAGGGAAAAGTAGAGCTTCTTTGTGTGGGAAAACTGAGAAGGGGACTGTGGAATTTTCTTCTTTTCCCTTTTCAAACCCAACCTCTAAGCTTGGATGCTTCAGATTTTAAAATCCTGACCCTACTTGTTGATTACTTCTTGTAATCTTCATAGCCAAAATAGTTATGTATTTTGCTGAGCCCCAGTAGTAATAAGCTTATTGTGGAACAGGCTAAAAGAAATGTGTGGGAAAACTGAGAAGGGGACTGTGGAATTTTCTTCTTTTCCCTTTTCAAACCCAACCTCTAAGCTTGGATGCTTCAGATTTTAAAATCCTGACCCTACTTGTTGATTACTTCTTGTAATCTTCATAGCCAAAATAGTTATGTATTTTGCTGAGCCCCAGTAGTAATAAGCTTATTGTGGAACAGGCTAAAAGAAACCAATTCTACTCCAAGACTCCATTTGAATGGAAGATACAGCTGGGTCATTTCACAGTGTTTCCAGTAGAGTTTGGACCAACTTTCCCTTCCCACTTTGTATTCTCTCATTCTGAATAGCTGATGTGCTCAAGAAATATGTTTTTCTGTATATCACATAAGTAATGGAAGGTGTAGCTCTAAACAAGGCTGGCTGACCTCTCCTTGTACTGCTTGAGGGTCACCTGCAGTCCACTGGAACGAGGTGTAATCACAGGTTTTGCCCATGTTCCAGGAGGCATCCTGATGGAAACAGGCAATTATGGGCATGTCCAAGCAAAGCATGTTCTGAATCTAGTTGTCCCATGTGGTTTTGTGAGTTGTGATGGCATTTCACACTAATATCCAGCTGACTTCCCCAGCTTCCTTTTATCAGAGTAAGCAGAGATGCATTTTCCTTCCCTGGAAATTCCCTGCACAACATTCAGTGCCAATTTATCTTTCTTTTCTTTATGTCCTCTTCCCAGCAGGCCATTCCTAATCTCCTGTGAGGAGAGAGAAGAGAAAACAGAGTGAATAGGGCAGGAGCCTGAGCTCAGTCTTAGTGCTGCCAGGTGTGAAAATGAAGGATGTGTATGTGGAGTCAGGTTGAGAAAGTGAGATTTAAACAAGAAGGAGGTTAGCCAGAGGCAAAATACAGATTATTCAGGAGAGTCTCAGAAGCAATCTGCTTCCCACCAAGAGGAGAAGACAAGAAGAGCCACATAAGGCTACTCACCTCACTGAAATGATCCTCAAACAGGATCCTGTCCCCATCAGTGTGCATGACAGGAGCTGAAATGGCGTGTTCCAAGTCATAGCCAAACCACAGCTTGTTTATAACTGCCTGCAATGAAACGAATCCCACACTGCCTGACTGGAGATACTCAAGAACCTAGGCCACATGCTGCCATCCTCTGCACTGGTGCTCAGCCAGAGCAGCATGTGCAAACCTGGACTGTACAACAAACTGCACTGAGCCAGATCAGCAGTCCTGCCAGTCTTGTCTCTGTTTTTCATGGTGACCTATACCAGATACTCAGGGCAAGTATAAGAACAGGGTGAGCACATAATGATTCTGCCCAGAATGCTTTCCCTGGCCTCCAGCCTGCAGCCTTTTAGTGACTTCTAAATTGCAAACAAAAAAAAGTACAAAGGAGTCAAGACCTGAGGAGGGCTGCAGAGAAAGAGCAGATGGGACTGACCATGGCTGGAAATGTGGGAAGGCAGAAAGAACTGGCAACTACTGTGTGTTCCATCACCTCCTTTATTCGTGTCCCATCCTGGTGGAAGGGAGCAGTCATTCAGCAGTGGAGCTGCAGCCAGACCCTGTCCTTGCCACAGACGTGCTAGAGGCAAGAAGGTGAGGTAGGCTGAGTCTGCAGCAAGTCCTCACCACTGCAGCCTTCCACATGGCAGAACTAAAGTATTTCCTTTTGTTCAGGACAGTGTGTGCTCCCCTTGCTCAGTGGAAGGTGTTGCTGTGTGTTAGCTGTTCACTTACCATGCTAGTAGCACTGATAATCCAGGCCCCACCTGCTCCTCCAATCACCAGCATGTCTCCTGACTTGGAGATGACGATGGAAGGCACCATTGCTGAGGGAGGCTTTTCTCCTAGAGCAGAGGAAGAGTATTATTCTTCCCATGTGGCTCTTAACGGGGTTGGAGGAACAAAAAATAATCTACCTCACCTTTCTTGTGTTTCCCACAGAAAACCAAGCTGCTGCTCCTTCCTCAAGAAGCTCAAGACTTCCAGAAAAAATGAGCTTCCTTGTGCCAGGAGCCTGTCGCACAAGAAACTGGACCTCTATGGCACAGGCTAAACAGGAGGTTTTTCTTGATGCAGGACAGGGCATCCTGCAAGTATTTAGTACTTGCTGCAGCTCCTTCAACCCAGCTGAGGAACCCTTAGCAGCAATCCTGCCGTGGCAACACTGATGTCCCCTCCCAGCAGGCCCAAGGGAGGCTGCACCAGGGATAACTTATGGCACAGAGTAGTGTCTCTGCACCAACAGCGCTGTGTTACAGAGCTTGGTGCAAGCCTGTAGCACTACTGACTGTGCAGCTGCTCCATACTTAGCATTATAGATGCACCTAAAATGTCAGCAAGCTTGTCTTAGCAGTTGTTTCTTCACTTTTGCCCTTCCCTCCCCAGCAATCTGTGATCAGCTTCAGCATTTTTTTTAAATTTCTAACGTCTCTGGTCAGAAACCAAAACTCCAGTTTTGGAGTAGACACTGTGAGTAGACACAGATACACTACAGGGCTTTATCCTCTTCTAGTCTGAAATGAACTTGCTCTCATCCAGACCTGGGAAAGGAAGGTGTATCTGTAGTTTACAGGTAGTCCCTGTCCATTTGTACACAGTTTGTGAATCCATTTCCTGGCCCTGTGCTTTGTTTCGAGGATGAGGATGCTCACCTGGGTTAATGTTTCTGTTTGCTATGCAGAAATCAGCAAGTTCATTATTTAAAATGATCCCAGTTTGGTTTGAATATACAAAGGAGCCAAACCTGCAGGGAGGAAAGATGAAGCCTTTCAGTGCCAAGGGCCCTCCTGTTGTTGATGACATTAACTGAACATGGCATCCTGTGGATTGCCTTGTCTCCTCCCAGTCTGCAACTGCCCCAGCAAGTGTCCAAAGGGATTTGTGCTGCTGCTGGTGACAGAGATAAGCTCCCTGTTATTGGTGCTCATGGAGATTTGCCTAACCCACAGAACCTCAGCAAGAGCTCAGCAAGTTCTTACATCCTCCTGAATTATGATGGTCCTTTTTGCTGATGCTTACAGACCTCTGCTGTCACATGACAAAAGCATTCACAAGTAAGAAGCTGCCTAAATCAGTGAAGCCCAAAGGTCTTGCACTTCTGGCAAACAGCCGTTGCAAGGTACCCTGTGAACCTGACACATGGCCTGTGTGACACTTACCAACCCCTTGGCTACTCACGGGTAGTTGATGGTGCTGGTGGCAGACACGGCACTGCCATCTGCAGCAAGCACAGAGATGTGGCTTGTGCCCATACTTTTGTATTTGTCATTGTAGACAGACTCCAACAAGTTGTAATGGTTGAGTGGGTGGTCACCACGAGTATCTATTCGGTGCCTGGCAAGCTCAACAAGCTTGTCAGACAGCATGGTCCCCACAGTCGCCTGCAAACACAGCAAGAACACTGAGCTGGCGTCTCCAAAGCACAGGCATGTCTTTGGGCATATGGAAACCTGGGGAATTCAGCCCCAATAGTCAGAGTTAGGGCTCTGCACTGGCATCATTCAGCTTCAGGCCACTCTCACCACAGAAAATGAAACAAGCTCAGTACTGAGGCATCTCAGCACTGGCATGAGCATGGGCACACCCTTTATCAGGCAAGGGAGTGCCAGCCTACAGCTGAGCAGAAGCTGCAGAGTGAACAGCCTAATCCTGCCTCTGCCTCAGCCAACTGAGCTGCATTGCTCTTAACTAGCAGCTCTAATTAATTTCTTTCCTTCTGTGGCTGCAAAGCAGGAGACAGAGCGTTGCATGGTACTATAACACTGTACCCATGCACCATGCCAGCTCACCTGAGCTTCAGAGAAGGCTGGGTCAGTCATGTGGGGTTTTAGCATGTTGCCAAACTTCAAGGCCTCTGCAATGCGATGGTAGGTTTCTACCTTCTCCTCGGGTGTCGCCAGTGATGCTTCATGGAGTTTATACTCTATGGAGCAGGATGAAATAATTCCATCAATAGACCCAAAGCAATCTTTTTTCAAGAAGTGTTAAAAAAAAAAGTTGAAAGGAGCCTCCTTTTCTCATCCCAGTTCCTACTGAGTCTCCCCTATGCTTTAGCAGGATGTGGACACAGAAACAACCAAGTACTAATTTCTGCTGTGATTTCAATTTCTTTTGAAGCCTTGGAAAAATCGTGTAACCTTCGGCCTTTGCAGCAGCTAAGGTGCTGCTGATCCACTGTATGAATGAGCCAGTTCATTATCCTGCCGCATAGCACAGTCACACTGCTGCTTTGGAGCCATTCTGGCTCACCAGCTCCATTTCTGCCCATTACTTTTTAATCATTCTAGAGCAACACTCTCTGAGAACCTCTTGCTGCCCCTTTTCCCTTAGGAATTTACCTTCTAATACCTTGAGGATGAACATGAGCACTGCCCCTCCCATGGGTGGTCCTGGAGCAAACACTGTGGTGTGGTTGTTGAGGGTGATGTTCAGAGCTGAGGACACCTCTGCTTTGTACGCCCGAAGGTCCTCCAGCGAGAGACTGGACCCTTCAACAGAGAACCAACAGCTGGAATTAGCACCCCAACTTGTACTGGTGCTGTGGACTGGCTTCATCAGAGCCTTGGTAAAGCTTGTGAAGAGTCATCCCTGTATATCCCAAATTCCTTGCACCAAGCACAGCACTGTCATTGTGCGTCCTCACCTACTGCCAAACCCCAGGATGTCACAAAGCCTAAAGGAGTCAGAGAGGTCAGTGCATGAGCACTGTGGGTGTAGGTGGTCTCAGCCCTGCTTCTGGGCCTGAGTTACAAGCACTGGGAGAGGTGGCCTCTTCCCATGCCAGGTACAAGCAGCAAGCAAATGGCATGTGTTGGCTTTCCCCTAGGAACAGGTTCACTGTAAGCCAATGGCTGGGAAAAGGCCTGTCTATGAGTATAGCTGTACCTACCAGCTTTCCTAACATCCTCCACCAGTGCCTCTCCTATTTGCCCTTCATAAAATGCTGTAGCTCCATGTTCTGCCACAGTTTGCAGTGTTCGCCACAGTGCTGGCCACCTGAAGGTCTCTCCAAGCTTCAGAAACCCTTGACCATCACACAGCAGTGGGCTGTTGAAGAAAAACATTCATCAGTTCAACAGCATGAGCTTGTTCTGTCCCCTGGGCCAATGATCTCCTTTTCCTGCCCAAAGCTGATTTGGTTTATGAATGTCATGTACTTTCCAAGGCAGTGTTAGACTGCAGTCTGTGTGGAGGAAAGTTCTCAGCTGATTGCTGTTGATAGCACCAGCCCCTCCTTCCCCTGGCAGTTTCCTCCATAGGACCCTATGCTTTGACCCTGGCTCGAGTCAGTGAGCCTTTTCCAAACAAGTGTCTGCCATAGGGCCCTGCTGTCAGGGGACAATTTCCATGCAGATGGAGGCAGGCCACATACAGCCAGCTCCTCCTCATCAGCAGATGTGCTTAGCAGACTGTTTTGCTGTGCCAAGCCACTCTAAATTAAAATTTTTTAAGGAGTTTCTGACAGAAAAACAAAAAATTAAAAATCCACTTCTGTAATTCCCTCCTGCTCCATAGCAAATACTCCCTGAGCAGCAGCTTGTGCTCCACATCAGCATGTCAGAGGACATGGAGCTGAGAGGACAGTGGTTCTCACACTACACTTTCATTCATGGATCTTACCACAGGCTTTTTCCTGGACCGGAGAAGGCTGGGTGATGGATTATTTTGTACAACACTGGGGAAATGACAAGTGGCTCTGAAAGGAGTTTGATGGTTGGTTCAAACAGGGCTTTCCATGGTAAGCGTCCGTAACGCTTATGGGCTGCTTCGTACCCACGGAGCTCTCCTGGCACAGCGATCCAGCGCGAACCTGGAGAGCAGAACGGCAGTGTCACACCAAGTCATTGGCTTGGGGACTTCAACTCCCCAAAAGCACTGCAATGGAAGTGTGAGTCTGTAGAGGCAAGCAAGGCTTCTGAAAGCACACTTGGTTTGCTTATTACCTTTGTCTGTTCATGTATTTCTTCCATGACCTAATGGAAGGGATATAGAGAGGCTAGAGCTGGACCCAGAGGGGTGTGGTGAAAGCACAACAGGCATCGAGCACATGCTGCAGCAAAGGAGGTGGCAGCTGGACATTGGAGAAAAAGCCCTTGTGGAGTCTGGTCAAACACCAGAACAGGTGAAGCTGTGAAATTCTCCATCCTTGGAGAAGCTCAAAAATGTGACAGGACAAGGCCCAGAGAAGCCTGGGCTAACCCTGACATCACTCTGTCTTGAGCAGGAGTTGGAGCAGAGACTTCCAGCTGTCCCTTTCAACTTCAGAGTTGTTTCTGATTCCTTTGCAGGCTCTTCTTCCAAGGATAAGAACAACTCCAGAAACTAGGACACACCCCAAAAGAAAATGTGCTAGGGAAGGAGAATGAATGCAGCAAGAAATATGGAGAGATCCAAGATGTGTGGCTAAAGCAAGGGCACCTGATGCCAAACCAGTAACCACAAATGGACATGGAGCTTCCTTCAATGGAAGTGAGTGGCAAAGAGGCAACTGAGCTAAGCTGGAGCCCAGAACTCAAATCCTGATGTGCCAGGGTGCTGCCCCAATGTGTAGTTCCCTCCCTGGTCATGTTGCCAGTGTTACTACCAAACAGGAATTTTTATGGATCACTTTCCAAAAACCGATCCAGATAGTATGTGATCAATTAAACAGAACTTCAGATAAAGTCAGCAAGATCCTTGGTTCCCCACCCTGAGCTTTGTGCACAACAGGAGGACACACAGCCCTCGTGGTCCAGTCTGTGTCCTTACCAATGGGGAAACCAGTACCACAGTCATACGATAAATTGCGTGGAGACTCCCGTGGGACTGTCTCACGGGCGTTGATCACCTCGACTCTTCCTAGAAAGAAAGAGAGGGAAAAGCATAACACTGTCTTCCTGAAGCAGGCCAACATCACATTTCAGCAACCTGTAACACTGCAGGGGCTGCTGGCCCAGAGCTGAGCTGTCCTGGAGCCTTTTGCCAAATGTGTCCAGCACACCTGCAGGGTCAGGGGTCAGCACACCGTGTCCTTTGTTCCCATGCTTTTATTTACAGCAAACCAGCAGTGTCTACCTAGAGGCAATGAAGGCCAGGGCTTGTCTCCAGCCAGTTAAGGTACCCCTCAGGGTTCCTGGGACATGGGCTAGGATGTGCTGCTTCACACCTGATTTGCAGGTTCCTATACTTCCTTCACAGGTGGAATATGTCAGAGACATAACATGAGCCTCGTGCTGCTTGGTGGGTCACTTTCCAAGTGATGGTGAAGCACAGCCATCATGTTTATAAGCAGAATGATGATACTGAAAGACTCTCTATGTATGAGGGAGCTTGAAAGGAAAAAAAAACAAAAAAAACAACAAAACCCCACTTGTATACACTCATATTTCAGGTCTAGCCTGTCATTTTGCCTCCTTCTCTGTCTTGTATTGATCTTTTCCTAGCACAGTCCACAGAGCCAGCTGTGCTGCAGGAGTCCACAGTGTTACCTGGTGTACCAAGCACTCGAGCTGTGCATGGTCACGGGTAGCAGAGGAGGACTGTTGTCAGGAGACAAAGTTACACAGCTCTGCCAAATGGGAAAAATAAATAAATATAGGTGTTCTGCCAAATTAAACTCTTGCATAAGATACACCCAAGCATTTCCAGACTTGTGACTTCATGAGACTACTTGGCAGAGGTTTTAAAACCATCACATTGTTACTGTGTTCATTGTTGATTTTGCTGTTTCAATCTTTGAGCTCTGGGGGGTTTGGGAAGCCAAGACACAAAAAAAAAAAGCAACATTAAAAACATAAAAGCAAAAACACAACACTAGGGGTTAAGCCAAACACAGAAAGGCTCCCCAGCAGGCCCTGAACATTGTTAGATTTAGATTTCTGAAGTGAAGATGCCAGGAAGTCTCACTGCCACATTGGAGAGTCCTACCCACAACAGCGAGGACAGCATGAGATGCAGCCCCAGTGTCAACAGGCACTGCCTGAGCTGCTGGGGCAGGATGAAACCCTGAAGTCCCAGCCCAAGGGCTCAGCTGAGCCAGGGACAGCCTGATATTGCTGTGCTCCTTGCCAGGACACACCTCACTCCACTCCTGTCTGCCTCCATGGCAGCGCAGCGGCTGCTCAGACAGCACTGCTCACACCTTGCCGCAGTCAGCTGTGTGACTTTGAAATGTAATCTGGGATTGCTTTAGGGAGGAAGGAGAGGCAAAGTCAGTTCTTTTTAAATCAAAGCTCTTCCCCCACACACACTCTGCTGTGCAATGATGTGCTCCCTGTGATGGATGCTTTAGGTTAAAGCAGAAGAATGTTTTGTGCTCAGAGGATGCAGCTTTTATATTCAAAAAAATTGCTCTGAGAGAATAGGAAGGATTCTGACTTCTCCACAGCAGCTGGGTGTCTGCAGGGGGACAGGGCATCATGGGGAGTCCATACCTGTGCTGGCATTATAGATGGTAAATATGACCCCACCACCCAGGCCTGAACTCTGGGGGTTCATCACCGAGGTGCAGATCAAGCCAGCAATGGCTGCATCCACCGCTGTGCCTCCACTTTTCAGGATGTCCCTGTGGTGGAAAGGGAAGAAAAAGACAATATTAAAATCCAGGAACAATGTAGTGGAGGAGCCACGTGAAAATGCCTCCTTGGGGTTTCTGCAAGGCAGCTCTGGCTTGAGGAGGGCAGCTAGCAGCTGGGTAAGCTACTGGCAGCAGTGTGGGGTGTGAGAGCGCCAAGAGTCGCCTTCATCTGCAGGAGTGAGAAAGAACCATCAGAAGGAAAGAAGAGAGAGTCTGCAGGAGGAAAGAGCAGCCAAGGGCCAGCCATGTGTGAGGCTGGGCTTCCTCTGGGCAAAGAGTTATGGGACAGAGAGAACAGCAGCTGCTCACAAATGCTATTGACAAAAATGGACAGCAAGGAGCTCCCAGATGTGGAGGAGAATGCTCTTGGAAGAGCAGAGAGCTTTCCACATGCTGGGAACCAAACAACTGGTTTCTGGCCCTCCACTCAGCTACCATTCCCAATAGAAAGGCATATGCTGGTCAACTGGGCAGGGGCACTGAATTGGAAATGATGGGTCTGTGTGAAGCAAACTCCTGAGACTTTAATATGCCAATTAGCAAAGAGTCCATTACTCCTACAATGTGCCTTCCTGGGCTCATGTGATATTAGCACAAAAATCCCTTCCCTCTCCCTCCCCGTATTCCCAAAGGCAAAACCAACAAAGAAACAAAAAGCTAAAAAGGAAAAAAAGCTGTTTCTACCTAGGCACACCCCCATCAAAGAATACACAGACATTAAGGCAGCCTTGTGCTGCTGACAGCAATGAGGTTCTGCTAGAGAAACGTGTCTCAACAAATGCTTCCCTCAAGCACAGCTGAAAAACACCTTTTCCTTGCAGTGGAAATGGTGTGGTATCTCTTTGCACAGCCTGCCAGTAGCCAGCCCTAGTGTTTGCTATGAAGGTTTCTAACTGTTTTATTGGGGTTTTGCTTAGATAAGGCAAAACCAGAAGGGAAAGTGGAATAGTTCATTAATTGCAGTGCAACTGCTTCCAGAGGCTGCACAGGAACACAGAGCACACATAGGGATTGCTGTTTATTTTACATCCCTTGGTAGGGCTGAGACCTGCTGGGGCTGGGAACAGGATGCTGCCAGCAGGCACACTGATTGTGGCTTTCCTCTGTTTCTCTAAGTGCCTCAGAACCACTGCCTGTAAGGAAATGGCATGTGGACAAGTGGGAAGAAAAGAACTGGTAGGGAACCACCGGGCTTTCTGTTTGGGGTCTGCATGGCTTTTGGCCTCCGAGGAACAAGCTGCTCCCTGGCTGTAGCTCTGAACACAGAGGCCAAGGCTCAGGGTCACCTATCCATGTCCTTGCAGCAGGAGTAGGACTCACCACACCAATGTCCCTGGGTGGTAAGTTTTTAATTGCTGACAATAGAAGGGAAGGATGTGAAGGCTTTCTGAGAAACTGAGTCACCTCAGTGGATGGCCCAGACAGCATGTTAAAAAAGCTGGGAAGGACCACTACACTGACCGGGGAGGGTGCTCCCCAGAGTCCCTGGATTATGGGCTATGAGGCAGAACATGCACAAAGCCTGGTTCCAGGGAAAACCATGGTTCTGGGATAATTGACAGTTATAAAAGAAGCTTTGAAGCCACGTAGTATGCATTTCAATGCAATGCATTAAGACCTTAACCTGTTACATCAGGCCCATTTTTCCCAAAGCCTGAAAACCTCTTGCCCAAGTTCCAGCCACATTCACATAGCTCCCCGTGCATGGCTCGCTCACTTTCACCCAGAGACCTGCCACTTCCTTGGAAGTGATGCCTGAGGAAGTTAGGCTTTCTCATCTAGCTATACCACACCCTGTCCCATTACATGACTCCTTTTATATGGATCATACAATGGCTTAATTGTAATGCAAAATTGTAGGGAGACACATGACCCTCAATCAAAGTGTGGCACCTTACCAGTTCTCTCTAGATATCTTAGTGCTACAGCTGACAAGATCTGATAACAACATGTTTTGTCCTATATCCTTCCTGCCACTTAGTTTCAGCTTTAGGGTTTGGTCGTTAATGGAGTTTCCTTAAAGTGCAGTGCAGAAGAGGATGTTAACAACCAAGTCCCATTCCAGCAGCACCAAGCAGGCACGCACCCTCCCAGGAAATGTGAAAAAATGGCACTTTGCTCACACAACCCTCACAGCAAAGGTGGGCTGTGCTGGGCTGCAGACCAAGCCTGCTGTTCTGATGTGGGCTAGAAGGAGCACTGAAGTAATTTTAAACACACCGGAAATGCTAAAATATAAAATTATATTGACTTTCTTTTTCTGCTAAAGGAAGCTGGGGGCTGGGAAGAGACCACCCAGCTGCCTGGTTAATATTTACGAAGAGCAAAAGCAACAACCATTTCTGTAAAGAAGGGCCAGTTGCCAAGTTAAAAATGTACAACAAGAAGGGAAGGCAAATCCTTTGGGATATAAACATTCTTCAGAAATCTGCTGGACCATCACTGAAAAGGATTTTTGCAGCAGATTCTCTGGCTAGAACTGAGCTTCCCAGGACCGCAGACATTTTCTGACTGTTAAAGTCTCACCGTTCTCACCCTCCCCACCACCCAGTCCCCACAGCGGGTATTTGCTGAAAGGGCCTGTTCCCAGGGTTTGTGCTAGGCTACACTGGAGAAATGGGATCAGAGATGGCTCCTGGGAATTGGAATGGCTCCACTTCTGGGAAGAACATTTGGGAAACAAATAGATGCAGAGCAGTGGATGGCAGAGCCCAGACAGCACACTGCTAGGGAGTATAAAGCTTTTAGCATGGTTGCTAGAAAAAGCCTCTTCCATTGCCAGGAGGGAACAAGTGGCTCAGAGTTGGAGGTGAAGGTGGGCTTGGGTACTGCTCAACTGTCAGAGCAATCACCTCCTGTCTCCTCATGGTTCTTGACATGAGGACAAATTACTGAAGTGCACTGTGGTACCAAATCCACATCCTTGGGTGAAAACTGCTCTGACTTTCCTTTCAGCCTCCTATTCCTCTTCATCAGTGTTTCACTTCATCCAGGGACAAACTTTCCCCCAGGGCAGGGCTCCAGTCTGGACAGACAGCTGCTTTCAGTCCCCAGTCTCCAGCAGAAAAAAATGCAGCAAGAAACCTAACCTTGTTCAGCACTGAGAATTGAGCACTGATGGCTGTATGGAAGTCTAGCTCAGGATCTGCCAACAAGGGTGATGACATGGTTAAGACTTCCTGACTTCTCAATTTCTGCAGGGACCCAAAAAGTTGCATAAAGATTTCAGAAAGTCCAACCTTGCACAGCCCCAGACAGAGCCACACGGTTCCTTCACTGACCCTTCCCTCTCAGCTGAGTAACCAGTGAAGGAAACACAAGGGACCAGAGGTGTTTTCCCCAACCCACCATCCCACATGTTAAAATACAAGACAGCTCTTCAGACAAGAGGTTCAGTTAGTCTCAAGAAGTTCAACTGACAGTTCTATTAGAAGCACAGGCAAAAAAAGACAGTTCTATTAGAAGCACATGACAGTTCTATTAGAAGTCTTTGTTTTAACCAGCAGCATCATAAACCAGCACAGCATCATGTAATGCCCCAGGAATTTAATTCCTGAGAACTCACAGAGCATGTGGTTTGAGTTTATCTTTAAAACAAACAAGACCTTTTTAATTAAAGAATAAAATTTCTAAGTCAGAGATTAAGCACTGCTTTTCGATTCCAAGACTTTAGGCGTCCGCACCAGTGCAACTGGTTTGATGCCCATCCTGCACTATTGTTCTCTGAGCATCCTCCACATGATTCCCGTGGCCTTGGGGGGTAGGAGATTTGCAGGATGAAAGGGGTGGCTGCAGGGGGCAGCTTAAGGTCCCAGCAGGAGGGAGGATCTGCAGGGTCCGTGGAGGAGAGCAGGGACAGAAGAGCAAGGACAGACTGTGGTGTGCCTTTAGGGACTGGCTCTCACAGTGGGGCAGACAGGCTGACAGGTTCAGTTACATGTGGGTCACATTTGGTTGCAGCTTTGCCATACCCAAGCCACCAAACCTATTCCCATAGTGCTGGAAGTCACTCTTTTCTTTTCTGTATTTTTCCACTAAAAGCATTCATCAATGACCAAAAAAGTAAGACTGAGAAAATTTGCTGGTTTACCTTAAACTCCTCCATGCATATGTGTAGTCATTAATGAACTAACCAATTTTGGTAGATTAATTCTCCTGTGATTCCTAAGCAATGATAGAGGAAATGAGTCTGTTCCAACCCTGAGCTGCAGAGGCTAAGCACAGCTTCCTCAAAAAAACCCTGCATCTGGTAACAGACTTGGCTTTGGCACATAGGAAAAAAAAAAAGGAGATTACTATCCTTGGCACTCAGTGATACATGTGGAAAGGAGCAGCCACAGGCAGCAATTAAGCAGAAGAGAGAAAGAGCAGGAGCACATGTAGCACAAGACCCAGCAGAGTCCCTGGAGCAACAGTACAGCTCCCAGCTCTTGTGCCATCGGGAATCTTGCCATTCCTGATTGCTCACCTCTAACTCCTCAAGTCTTTACTATATTCCAAGTCCAAACAGCCAGTGTAAAAATTTGCTAACATTTGCATAACTGCAAAAACGAAGCACGAAGACCTAAATACGATCCTTAGTAAGAAACAAATACCCAAGATTAATAATGTCTCATTTTTGCTCTCCTGTCTCATGAATTCGGAAGTTTAATTATTTTTGAACAGCAAAAGTCAACAGCATTGTTGTAATCTCAAAACCATTCAGCTGAGTGTCTGGACAGAAGTTAGGGTATACATCAAGGGCTGCTTGGCTTTGCCCTACTCTCACTTTGTTGCTGAAGTGGCATATGAAGTGGCAGCTCACAGCTGGGGACAGCAGAGACTAATGGTTAAGACTACTCTCAGAAATGTTATTGCTACTTTCCTATGGATGCTAAAATCTTGTTCAGCAAAGATTAGGCAGGAGGCTGCTGTATGCTCCTCAGCTCGTGATGCTCCTGTCAAGGTGTCTGGGTGAGGCTTGAGGAAGCCCTCACCCTGCAGAGTCACACAGGGGGTCAGTGAGCAGTGCAGATTGCTCTGAAATGCTGAGACTTTGGCCAAAGCCCCTGTGAGGTGGCATCCTCACAGTGTAATTGCTGTGCAAATCTTCTTAATTTCTGCTGGTGAGGCAACACCATTTTCTCACTTCACAAATTGCTGTGAGAATTAATTTAGTGGTGACTATCACATGCTAATAGCTGAGACCCTAAAAGTGACATACAGATATAACAGCACAAAAATGCCTGGGAGAAAACGAAGAAGATCACAAGCAGTACAGAGTACACAGTAAGATTCCTTCAGAGAAAAATGTTCCTTCCTTAGAAACCACCACTGTGGCCAAGTGGGGACAAAGAGAGAAATATGACAATGACGAAGAAAAGGGCAAACAAAGCTTCTGATCCCAAGCTCAGTTGCAGAGGAACATTTTTTATAAAGAATTTTACTTTTCTTATGATCTATTGCAAGGACAAGCAGAGGAGAACAACACAGGAGTTTGGTTCATTGCATGTATATGACTGCATGGAATGAGCAAGAATATTTCCAAGAATGGCTGGAGGCAAAGGATACTGGAAAAGCAGCAGACAGCATGCTGCAGTAGGAGAGCAGAGCTAACCACTAGGCAGAGGGTAAGTAGAGTAGAGCCAAGGTGAAGGAGGAGAGTAGTCTTGGCTGAGGAGATCCAGAGGGCTTGGCAGGGCTGGGGGAGAGAGAGCACATGGAGCAGCAGGACAAGATGTGCAGATGCCCCAGGATGGTCAAAAGTGGGAAAAAATTGTGTAATGGGAAGTTGGAGCAAGGGCATAATTTTGTGGGGATCACTGGCTGGCCAAAGCTGCTCAGTTGACCACCTGATCACAGATTTCTGTGGCTCTCACTTCAGTGCCTTCCAGTCGATTGTACACTACGTCAAGTTAAAATTTGCAATAGCTGCAAAAACAAGTGCTGAGGTTTTCCCCAGCAGATACCTTGGATAATCCAATAATGTATTTTTCTTTTTTTTTTTCCATGAATACTGATTAAAAAAGATACTTCTGCCTTCTGAAGAGCTAAGCTGTGGCATAATGTAAAAGCCCCATCTCATTCCTTGACATATGTACAGCCACAGTATAATTTCTCCAACAACTCACACATGCTGTGCCAGCAAGAATCACATGTGAGACATGGCAAGCACCATGACTTATTTCACTCCTCCAGCCACAAGGTAGACCATACACCTCCAAAATCCATTGCTGGAGCATCCAGCATTGCATGTAGCATATGAACTTCCATCCTTCTGCTTTCATGTATACAAACATGTAACAATTGAAGTAACGGTAACAGTAAAATAATAATATGTGTGTGAAAATGTTTGAGAGAGAAGTAATTACACTAACACCCTGGGCAGTTAGAGAATTTTTTAAACCTACATCTTTCTTTCCAAGTGATGTAAGTATGTCTTTTGTACTTATACTGGGTGGATGAATTTCAATTAAATCTGCTCTTAGCTTTTTTTTTGCCTTTGTAGTAGACACACCTGGACCTTCAGTCCAGAAACACATACCCTAAAAGCTGAGATGCCCAATCCCCCTTCCCTCTCAGCCTACCTACCTGCCTTCCTTGCAGAGGCTGAAGCCCAGCTGCAGCTCTCTGCTAGTTCCTCTAACTTCTTAATTTATTTCCAAGCCACTTATCCAACACACTTACCACCATGCCACAAACAGTTAATTTCCTGCTTCCCCACTTGAAAACAGCTTGCATTTGTATACAGTAAATATCTGTACCTTCCAAAAGACCAAGGCTTTGCAGAGCTGCAAATTTTTATGACACTGACATAAGCATCAACCACAGAGGCAGCAGCTCCCTCTGCTCTCCGAGCTGCTCCACTGCTGATGGAGAGCACCCAGGGCACAGCATCACTGCTCAGCCCCAAAGCAGGGACGAGGCAGAAACGCAGCTCACTGCTGTAGTTAGTACTTGTCCTGTCTGTCAGTCCCAGTCCGAAATACACAACCAGTAACCTGCAAAGCCCAGAGGTGTGTGCACATACCGACCGATGGCAGAGCAGGTCTCGGTGTCAGCAGCCACGGCACCGTGCAGGTAGTGCTGGGGACCGCACTTGGGTTGAGTCAGGGTGACCACAAGTGTCACAACCACCACCAGCACCCCCAGGGTCAGCAGCACCAGGCAACAGATCTTCCCCGTGTTCATGTCTACTCCTACGCCGCCGGAGGAGCTGGGAGCCTTTCAGTCCCGCTGAGAAGGAGCCTGCTTTGCTCAGGGTGGAAGTGGAGGATCCCGGCAGCTTTTTGAGGGAGGTCCCACTTCAGTGGGCTCTGCCCCCTGCGACTGAGAATTACATTCTTTTCAAGATTAAAAGCTGCTAAAAAGGAAACTGTGTACTCTTTCTTTCCTTCTGTGTGAGAGGCTTTTCACTCTCTTCTATAAAGTAAACTTTGTCTTGCATATGTACCATATGCCTCTTTTTTTTTTAATCTCTGATGAAAACATTTAACACATTCACTGCTGGAACACTTCAAAGGAAAATTTCTGCACTGCTTTTTGGCTTCATACAGCCTCTCTGGCTTCCCATTCTTGACTCACAAAGCAAATTACCTAACAAACGTGGCCTACATGGTGAATCACTAGGAAAATCACATCAGTCCTATGTTGCAATCTTGGTGTATTTTCTTCCCATAAGACTACTCAAAGAAGTAAAAGCTAAATACAGTGTACAAAGCTGGAACCTTCATGTTTAACTTATATTATCTTTACCTTAAACTTTCTTATAATCTTGCTTATTTTTTTCATCATTAAATCTTGCCAGTGTCCACACATAAATATGTAAAGGAGCACAACAGAACACCTTGAATAAAGCAGCAATTCTAGTGCAGGCATTGGTATAAAGAGCTCCAGGGTCCAGCCTGTACTGGGCAGCAGCCCCAGCTGCTCACTAAGACCAGATCTGATCCCTTACAAAAAGGTGATGAGCAGCATGAATTACTACACAGTGTAACTGGTCCCAGCTAGCTCTTTAAGAGCCTCTTAATTATACAGTTCTCCTTGCACTCGTTAAGAGCCTCTTAATTATACAGTTCTCTTTGCATTCAAGAAGTTAAAGATAGGGCTCAACATCTTCCTCCTGTCTTTCTAAAAGATGTTGCCTGTGATTGTTTCCCAGCTAGATTTGGGAGAAGAGAAATTCACCTGCAGAGATTTACACCTGTAGTTCGGTGCAGACTTTGAACTTGTCCCACTACACTTTATCTCATAGCTCAGCAATACTATTTCATGCATCATATCTCAAGAAATGGATTTGATAGGATAAAATGTTTTATTGTGGTTGTATCTTCCCGTAAAGTTATCTTGGGGAACTGAAAATAGTCCAAGAAAAATCAGTGGTTTTGTCCAAGATATAACCAGGGTCCCTAGGTAATAATTTCTTGGTCTCCACATCTCTGTCTGACTTGGCAAATATACTTGACATGTGTGAACAAGTCTCCTCAGCTCTATTGTGCCTCTTCATTTCACCCCATTGCAAAACATTGATGAATTGGTAGAATTTCTCAATCTCTACATGACTTTGATGTTTCATTTCTGACAAATTACTCTATAACTCTTAGAGAATCATCATTCTGGTGTTTCTGGGAAAGCTCTTTCCTTTAAATTCATAGCGGGGCTGGAAACCCCAATCACTCAGTACCAATAGACTCAAGCAGATTTTGCCCATTTGTTTTTTTCCAATGCCATAGATAATTCAACTGTAGTCTCCAAATTTCCATCAAATTTGGTTTTTAACTCAGCACGTCAAATAGCTGTATCTGGAAAATTACTGTTGTGCAGTCAAGGAAGACGCGAGAAAGGTAAAAGTGAGTGTCATCTCCCAGACCATATCCAGAAAGGCCAAGGAATAGTGATGATCTATTCCAACTAAGAGCTGCCTGTCATAGGCAAACCCATTTGTCTCTTCAATACAGAAATGAAGATTGATCCTCTTTGTCTCTTTCAATGTGTAACCCTTACAGTCTTGTTGGTGCAACACTCAATATTGACCATATGACACTCCAAAGTCTGCACTGACCCTCTCATGTGAGAAGCTACTTAGCAGTTCATATGCCAGGTCTCAGGACCTTGACCTCTATTTGTCTGTTTGTTCCTCAAAACTTTCACATTTGCCATCATTTTCTGGGAGCACAGTTTGCCTTGGCATAAATCTCCACACAGCACTTCACTGCAAGGAATCTCTGGCTCTCTGCTGACAGCATGAAAGGCTTTGTATGCCCCATGAAACGGAACTCAGGTATTTAAAGACTCTTGAAGGTCAAGATATACTCTAGAAAATTTTAATTAGAATTTTAATTGTTAACAAAACCAACGTTTATTAACCAATAAACAGGCACAGTATCTTTAAGCTGTCCTTTATTTTGTTGGGGTCCTGTTACATCTTTGTCCAAATCTTCAAATAAGACATCAAATTTGAAGATTATTCAATGTCTGAAGTACAGACATTGTTAAGGCTGATGGGAATACCACAGCTACCTTATGAAGGGTACGAAATTATCAGGGGATATATATCCTTGTTTCCATCTCAATTTCCCTCTCAGGTTATTGTGGGGGTGTGGAAGCATCTCGGCCATTGGGCTGAGCTGGGGAGGAGAGTACATGGGGTCATCTAGTGACCAAAGGGTCCAGGGCAGGCTTTGGAAGCACCAGGAACTTCTCCTTCAGCCTTGCTAGGGACAGTATGTACCTTTGCTTGTTTTGCCAAAAATGTATTGCACTAAGCCAATGTCATTTTACCTCAAGCTCCAACATGTTCTTGACACATTGAACTGCCACCTGTAGACCCTCCTTCTCTGACAAGGAAGCTGGTTTCAGGTGATCTCTGGTATCAGTCATGTTTGAGGAAAAGAAAGGTTGGTTGAAAGCCAGCCCTCATAACCAGCCTCAGGCTCCTGGAGGTGAGAAGACAATACCAAAGAGCACCAGCATCCACATGAGCCATAAGCATGCTTTTTGTTCAGCAGAATCAAGCTGGAGGTGCAAATCAAGGAGCCAACTTCTGAGAAGATGGAGACCTCTGTGCTGAAGAAGGATTTATGGCAGTCTGGGGCCAAACTAAGGAAAACAAGGTTGCTGCCTTGTCTGCAGCAAAGGAGTAGGTTTGTGGCATGAATGACATTTCAAGCATTATTTTTTCTCCATGCCTCCTCTCCTTCAGTGCTGCTTTCCATCAATTGAGGGGAAGAAAAGAACCTCGTTGGACAGAGAGGCAGACATTTGTACTCAACAAAGAAAATCTAAGATATTGATAGTCAACTTATCACTTCATCTCATCTTTTAAAAATATAAAGAACTCTGAATGCACACCAAACTCAGAAGGCAATTCTCACTCCAGTGTCCAAAATATCCTCATTTGCCTGTGCCTCTACACTGTCCAAATTACATTGCAACATACTCAAGAGGATGCCTCTTTCTACTGGTGTTTGTTTGCAGAACATTGCCTGGAGTCACCAAAGTCTTATTGTGATAAATAAGAACTGCATTTTACACTTCCCAACCCTAAATTAAGTTCAAACCATTGGACAAGAGTCTAGGAAATGTTCCAAGAGCATGCAACCAAAAGCCAAATTGGTTGTATTTCATATGCTGTTTATTTCTTCCTCCAGCCATGTTTATTATAACCCAGGAATATCAATTGTCTCTGTATCATAATCAAATCAGAAAAATATTGGGCAACATTTTGGGAATTTATTGTTCAAATTTTCTAAGAGACAAGGCTGTGAGTTCCACAGATGTTGGTGCTTCTGACCCATTTGTCTTAGTATAGTTTTTCAGAAACTGAGACACACTACCCTTTGCACACTGTTTTCCTTTGCACACAAACAAGTTTTCTTTACTGAGAGCCATGGGTCTGCTCCCACAAAAATCAAGTTTGTATAGTTTTCAGACATCTGGAAAAACAGATACTTGGAAACAGGAAATTCTGGTGCTCAAGAACTTCTCATTCATGTCTCTCTTCTCTCTATTATTTCTCAGAAACCATGGTGAAAGTTAGGACCATAAACTCCCCTGATTCAGGAAAACCGAACACTGCTTCTTTTGGTATTGAAATCAGAAAGGGAAACACGCTCTAAAATTACCCATGGAGTTGTGTTTTGCTGAGATTAACATTTAAGCACCTTCTGAATCAAGGATCTTTGGTTTCCCTTTTCATTTCGAAGCATGCCAGGGAACCAGTCTCCCAGTTCTAGCTGAGAAACTTGGCAGTATTTCATCTCAAATCTAGGAAACACACTTCTGGCTGCAGCTGTAATGGTTAAACAGATTCCTCCTACAAGCCCTGAAAGGCCTGGAGGGTGATCACAAGCAGCCCATGTGTTAGAAGGGCAATGAGGGATGACTGGGAGAGGACAAACCTTCATCTTGAGGAAGACAAGTATCAACAGTCCAACACTACTCTGATGCTATTTTCCTCAGACACACTAACTTTCAGTTTCCCACTTACAGGATGTCTTCGTGGGCTGTAAGCACAAAGAAAGGGAAAGCAGTTGAACAGGACAGTCACAGGATGTGCCATTTCTCATATCACTGAAAGTCAAAAGAGATCCAGCAGAATCTCAGGGACTCCTGTATATTTGTTTAATTCTTCAGGGTCAAAAGCAGAGCTGCTGCCTCCTCCTTCCTTTGTTGCTGGTTACAAAGCAATACACGAGAAAAACACTCTGTCAAACCCAAACCTAAACAACCTCTATTCTACAGTGACATTGACATTTTGAAAGACATTTGCACAGCTCCACTGCCCAAGGGAAACTCTTCTCCATTAACTTCATTCAATTAGGACACCCAGGCACAGTTTATTGCAAGCATCAGCATTTCATTCTGTCTGTAACGGTGTAGCTATGCTCAAGATTAGATTTAAGAGTAAAACCATCTTATTCAGTCTTTAACTCTTGAATAACCTTCTGGAGCAAATCCAGCAGGTTTCTTAAAGACTAAACCTCATTAGTACAATTACTGTGACAGCTGAAAGTATTGGCAATAGAAAACAAAAGGGAGCTTTGTGTGCATCCAAAGACACCAACTCTATCAGAACCCTGTACTGACTAAATTAGGCCAAAGTATTATGGTAGTGACCCCAAATGATAGCTGTGGAGAGCTTTAACTCACATGGAAGTACTAAACTCACTAGAAGTAATAAATACAACATA